GGATGCTCTGGGGAAAGGGGACAGACAAGGCTGAAGAAGGACGCTGAAGGGGCATCTGGGGAAGGGGCATCTGGGGAAGCGGCAGGGATCCAATCAGGAAGGGTTTGAAAGTTTCAAGCTGTGAAGTATGTATGGCTTCAAGAGCTGGTGGTCTTCCGATCTTAGGATGACTTTGGGGGCAGCGCTGGAAGTATGCTGAAAGACAATGCTAGTGCAAACGCCAGGCAAGAAGGGGTCTCTGCAAGGGCAGAGGTTGTGCATCTGGAGGGAGCAGGCAGCCAAGAGTTATTCAGGAGGCAGATTGGACAGGATGTGGTGATTTACTGAGTGTGGAGAAAGAGAAGAAAGGAGGATGGGAAGGGCAGCTGCAGGGAACTGAAGTGGGCAACTAGCTTCATGCTGATCACATTCCCCAGGCCAGAGAAGACAGGCAGAAGATGAGGCTAGGGGAAGCCAACAGGGCACCTGGAAAGAGCAGTGTTCACACAGGATGCGCCTCTCAGCTTGCCTGTCACATGGGGACCACAGGGGATGGTTTGAATAAGTCCTACCTTCTGTTTTTGATACAGGTGACCTGTGCTGTCCCGGTGGTACTTTCTACTGACATGACTCTTATCCCAAGCCAAGTTCTCTTATGGGTGTAGATAGCTGTCATAGCAGGCAGAGGGTGAGACGAAGGAAGAGGTAATGCTTCCAGAAAGGGAAGCCCATTATTTCCATGTTCATTTCCCCCAGACATAGCCTATAGGGAACAGTAGTGTGGGAGTCGAGGAAAACCAAGATCTGGATTCCTGCTTCTGGAAAGAGTCCTTTTTCTGAATTCTGTGGGGAAGTGGGTTCAGCAAGGTTGAAAGATAAAGTGCATTCTGTTTTCCAGAAGACTGCCAAGCAGCCAGAGTGCCACGTGGAGGAGCTGATAGGGATGGACCAGAAGTGGGGTGGGGGCAGGTTTACAGGCAAGGGCCTGAGGCTGGGCCGGGAAAGCTGAGGAAAGGGACTCAGGGGTGCTCAGGGGGTGCCGGGGAAGATGGCCCTTGTCAAGAGGACTTGGTGCGGGTTAACATACTTCTGGCCGTTTTGGATGCAGAGCCCAGAAGCGGCTCTGACGGGGACTCAGGGAAGGAAGTAGTCTGTGGGGAACAGGGCACGATGCATGTGGGTCAAGCTGGGTCAGCGGGTCAGGCAGGTATCTTCCAGCCAGCAGTCATGCAGGGGGAAATGGAGCCCTGGGGTCTGAGATGTCAAGCTGGAATATGAAAGAGGCAGGGGCAGGAAGTAGGAGTGACGGCAGGAAGAGGTTAGGAGGCTTATCTTTTCCATCTGGGAACAGCAGAAAAGCTGGGGTCCAAAGGTCTGGGATTCCTGGCTTTACTACTTCTAAGCCCTTAAGAGGACCTGGAACCACCAGAAAAGGGCTTTTGACATTATTTGGCTCCTGACTGCTTTTCTCTCCTACCTCACATGTTCCTTTAATAAATATTAGCTGTCACAACACCAAACAATTCTAGGGACATGTTATGCCATGTCATGCTTAACTCATATTATTCTCTCTGCCTAGAAATACGCTTCTACTTCTTTGCCTACCTGGAGAATTCCTCTTCTTCAAAACCAAACTATGATGTTACCTACTCTGATCCCTATAAACGCCTTAGAATATCATCAAGGCACTAATATACAGAATGGCAATTGATTAAAAATAGAGGTCATTTACCCCATGTTGGCACACACTAGGGCCACAATACATGTGTCTGATAAGTGCGTGAAAGGATGTATCTGAATAGGGGTCTAGCTCACCTTTCTTTGGCTGGGCTGCTGACACAGTAGTGCAGTCCCCTGCCTCCCTTGTTTCTAGAGCTCTAGCAGTACGGCCTCACTCAGAGGAATGTTAATAGCAGACAGTCTCCATCCTTTGGGGCTGGAAGCAGCCCCAGGGTGATCTCACATCCTTCCCTGGATCTCCATAGCACCTTGCCTGGCACTAAAGCTCAGTTTTCGGCAAAGCGAGGGAAATGTCAGGGTCAAAGACGCTGCAGGCAATGCCAATCATACAACCCACTCGAGCCCTTCAGGGGATGACCTAGAGAGAGAGAGAGATGAGTCTGCCCAGCTCTAGGATGGGAGTCCTCTGCCTGGGGTGGGGGAGGGTAGGGTGGGGGTCAATGGGCTCCAAGGGATTCATGAACTGGTGTGTCGATGGGCATTTTTCTGGGGAAACAGTTCACAGCTTTCATCAGTTTTGCAAAGAGGTCCCTGACCTTTAAATATTAAGACCTGCCATTCTAGAAACGTGCCCTCCTCCAGGCAGCTCTGATCTGAGAATCAGCTGCTGACTCCAGATCACAGAGGCCTCGGTCTTCACCAAGGCAGATCACAGAAGGGACCCAGGTTCCTCCATAGCATGCCACGCACATGCCCGAATACCACCCCAAGAAGAGCCTTTTTGAAGACAAATGTGCAATTTAAGGAAGTTTCATTATCTGTGTCTTTTACAGGTTCAAATGCAATGAACGAGAGGGAGTTAGGCTTATGATGCCTCTACTTTGACCTTTATGTTCCTCAGCACAACAAATCCTCAAAAAATAAAAAGGCAAATCTCCAGGGTCTCATTGCTGAAGAAGAGTCATGTTTGACCTCGTTCTATCAGGGCTGAGCTCAGGAAATGCTAATAAACAGACAAATCCTGTGCAATGGCTTTTTACATTTGACCTTTCTTTTTTTTTTTTTTTTCTGGCATAGGAGCCTTAGAAGACAGCAGGAAAAAGGCTTTCCATATTAAAGAGGCAAGAAATGTACACACGCACATGCGCGCACACACACACATGCACACACATAGAGAGAGCAAATCTAAAACTGTACTAAACTCTGGGGAACTGAGAGTCACTTTTCACCCACATCCTGTCAGGGTTGAAAAGCATAGAAAAAGGTTTCTACTAAAATGTATGTATGTTTTATTCTTTTTTAAAGAAAAATATGAGTCCCTCATATGCACCCAGATATCTGAAAAGCTCAGCTGGATATTTTTATTTGCTTAGTTCCCACTTTTCTGCCCATGATTTCTGAAAAGATAGTTTAAAAAAAAATCCTTACATTTGAGTCTGTAAATTTCAGTTGTTAAGAACACATGCTTTGTCCCTAAACAGGCATGGGCTCTGCCACTGACTTGCTAGGTGATAGTGGACAGGTTTCTTCATCTTTTTAAGAACTTATTCACCAATTAAAATAGGTGTATGATCTTCCAAATAAAAAAAAAAGAGAAAAATGGGAGTATGAATGGTACTGATGTCACATGGTGGCTGAGATAATGAAATGAAATAATGCACTTAGGATATTAAGTGAAGTAAGTCAGACAGAGAAAGACAAATATAAGGTATCACTTCTATGTGGAATGTAAAAAAATAATATCAATACAAATGAACTTATAAAACACAAATAGACTCACAGACATAGAAAACAAAGTGATGGTTAGCAAAGGAAAAGGCGGGAGAGGATAAATCAGGAGCTTGGGATTAACATATACACAGTACTGTATATAAAATAGATTACCAACATGAACCTACTGTATAGCACAAGGAACTATATTCAGTATCTTGTAATAAGCTATAATGGAAAAGAATCTGAAAAAGGATATATTACACACACACACACATACACATGTATAACTGAATCACTTTGCTGAATACTTGAAACTATCACAACACTGTAATGGTAAATCAATTATACCTCAATATTTTTTAAAAATGGAAAATCTAAGGCTAGCTTGGCAAACTTGAAGCATTCAATGAATGGCAGCTAAAGACCAGGAACTGTGGGGTAAATCCCCTACCAATGAAAGAAACTATTCCAAGGACGCATCTTTCTGCGTTTTCATAAATGTTCTAACACACAGAAAGACAAAACGCAGCAACAGTGGGGCTGTGCTTCTCGGGGAGGATCCCCTACTTTATACATTACATGGGGATGTCAAGACTGCATTTCTTCACCTTCAGGTGAGCTCAAGCCTGGCAGGGAAGGGATCTTCCCTCCCCAGCAACAATGTGGGTCATCTGACCAGGTCCACAGAAGGCCCAGGAAGCCAAGACACACTGCATATTTCCCAGTGATCAGGCCCCATGAATCCTGTCCTCTCTTCTAGAAAGCCCTGGTCAGGCCTGGACCCAAACCCTTATCATCATTCCTTCGGCCCATTTCCAACATGCTCAACTCAGCTGAGACCTGAGTGGTTCTCAAAAGTTCATCTGGGCCAAGAAATAACATCCCTGACAATCTTTTGACCAAATGATCATCACCCTACAGAACTCAGCAAAGTTGCATTCTCATTGCATTCTCATCTATTTCTCCAAAAGGGCTTTTACCTACTTTCTGTAAATTTACCATGTCAGAAATATTTATCCTCAACTTTGGTTTTAGTTTTTTTCCTTACGCATTGCCGGCTGAGAACTCGCATCCTTTTGATAAAGGATTTGGCTACTTTGCATGGAAAGGCTTTTGCTCTGTCAAATCTCACTCCTGATCACCTCTTACGCAGGTCATATAAAGCAGTTTCAGTAAATGAACCCATCCCATGGTCTGGTATCTACAACGGATTTCTAGGGATCCATTTACCAATTGCATTAAGTGCATTTTCTCTAAGCTTCTCTCGCCTGTTGGAATCTTACTTCATCTAAGTTTTGTATTAATATGTGGCTTTTCTCAATAATCACTGTGTTAAAACCCAAATTTCGTTTCCTTTCACTTTAACTATCTTTCCCACAGAGGAAGAAAAGAAACAAAAATCTTTGTGTCATTTGATCAAGGAAGGCTGACTTCACTTATTAGTAAAATTAATAGACTCCAGACAACTGCGTCATCATCCACCAGTTCCTTCAACAACAGGGAAGCATGGATCAGTACAAGGATTGGGACTGAGGGGATTCCATGTGTTGGCCTTTGAACCTTCCTTAAAAAAGTACATTACCACAGATAACTTTGCAAAGGCATTCACAACAATGACATTTCCTTACCCGGCAGTCTCTCTGAAGTGTCTTCATGAGTGCATTGTATGTTTCTGTATCAAAATACAATCCTTCATGCATGTCCTGCAGGAAATCTAAGTCCTTAAACGTGGGGCTAGATTTCTCTCTCTCTTTTCTGGATGCTCTTCGCTTATAGGTTGAGCCTTTCAAGTCATACGTGAAGTGCATTCTCATGGAGCGTGGTAAAACGTTGTTCATCACCACAATCCTGATGTTAATGCCCCCTGACTGCATGCAATACAGTCCATAAAATTTTGGCAAAAGAGTTCTTGGATTCTGGTTCAAATTCTAAAAAGGGAAAAAGAAAAAAATGTTTAAAATGTACTTTTACAAAGCAACACTCCACTATGATGCGTTTTCATGTAAAATGGTAATTAAAAATGGAATGTGATTACTCTCGTTAACAGTCATTTGTTAAAATTTTGCTGTTCTGAATCTAGTTTCTAAGTCAGCTTATGGGAACTGCAACTTTATCATTCTGAACTCAGGGTGTTAAAAGTGGCTGAACTGAAAATGGACAGAATTTCCTTCTTTAATTAGTTACAACTAAAAACAGGCAGAGATGTGATTAGTGCCATATGTGATTATTCTCTAAGGTAGCTCAAGAGAAAATTAGGTGCTGGGGTACAAGGGTGGACATTTAAAATCTTAATAGCTCCTGAGAAACTGTCTTCCAAAATGACCAGACCAGTTCACAACCACACTTCATAAGGTTACATATATCCCACCACTCTTTACCAATGCTGAATATTATCCTACTTTACAATCTCTGGAAGCAAGCTTGGTGAAAAATGAAAATGTGTTTTCAAGTTAATTTAAATGTGAATACCACAGAGAACTAGAGAAATTTAATATTCTTATGTATTTTTAGCCACCTCTTAAAGATAATTTTGTGTTACTCTCCTTTGCTCCTTTTTCCTTATGTTTTTGTCATTGTTGGAGTTCTTGATATAGTCTGGATATTTATTATTTTCCTCTTCTACTTGGGGTAAATATTTTCTTCCAGTATGTTGTCTTTTTTGTTACAAAAATAGACATTCTAACTGTGTTTTGGCTGCCTCACAGGGCATGCAGAATTTCCCCAACCAGGGATGGGACCCATGCCCCTCTTCATTGGAAACACAAAGTCTTAACCATCAGACCACTGGGCTATAAAAATAAGGAATATGTGTCTGTTTTTGTTTCACTTTAAAAGTATGGGAAAACTAAAAAATAGTTTTTTTGTTGTTGCTTAGTCGTTAAGTCATGTCCAACTGCTTTGAGACTCCATGGACTATAGCCCACCAGGCTCCTCTGTCCATGGGATTTTCCAGGCAAGAATACTGGGGTGGGTTGACATTTCCTTCTCCAGAGGATCTTTCCAACCCAGGGATCAAACCCATGTCTCTTGCATAGGTGGGCAGATTCTTAACCATGGAGCCTAAAGGGAAGCACCAAAAATAGTTTACTAAAAGGCATTTATATAATGAAAAGTCTTTCTTCTATACTTAATCCTTCCCCCATTTCCCAGCTTTTGTGGAAACTGTTTTCTCTTTCTTTCTATCATTCTGGAAATATTCTATGTGCTTATGTTAATTTTATATCTGGCATTATTTTTGGTTATATAGATGTTTTGCCTTTTCATGTAGTTATATTTATGAACTTGTTTCTCATGCTTTTTTTGGTTTCTTATTTAGCAAGGCTTTTTATAACCCAAGGTTATAAATTTCTTCCTTCTTCTTACAAATTTTTAATAGTTTTGGTGATTACATTTGGCTTTTACTCCATATGGGATTAATTTTTTTCTTTCAGTTTTACTGAGATATAATTGACATACAGCACTGGGTAAATGTACATAGAGCACTGATCTTCTGACTTATATACATCATGAAATGAGTATCACAGTAAGTTTAGAAGAGAGTTCTTAGGATTACTCTCTTAACAACTTTCATGTGTCACAGCAGTCCCCAATCTTTTTGGCACCAGGGGCCGGTTTCATGGAAGACAATTTTTCCATGCATGGACCCAGGAGTTTTGGAGGAGATGGTTTTAGATGACTCAAGTACATTACGTTTATTGTTCTAACGATAATCTGTATTTACAGCTGCTCCCCAGGGCTAGCATCACAGCCTCAACTCCACCTCGTATCATCAGGCATTAGATTCATATTAGGAGTGCGCAACCTAGATTCTGTGCAATCGCAGTTCACAGTAGGGTTTGCACTCCTATGAGAATCTAAGGCCACCACTGATTCGACAGGTGGCGGAGCACAGGCTGAAACGTGAGTAACACAGAGTGACCGTAAATACAGATGACGCTTCACTGGCTCCCCTCCTGCTGTGCGGCCTGGTTCCTAACAGTACCAGTCTGTAGCCCAGGGTTTGGGGACCCCTGATATATAACATGCAGCAGTATTCATTATCTTTATCATGTTTACATTAACATCCCTAGTAGCTATTTATCTTGTAACTAGAAGCTTGTACCTTTTGACCACCTTCCTCTAACTACCCCTTCCCCCCACCTCCCACCTCTGGTAACCACAAATCTGATCTCCTTTTCTATGTGCTTGTTTTTGAAGTAAAACTGACCTACATAACTACGCCAGTTCCTGTTATACAACATAGTGATTAGATATTTCTATACATTTCAAACTGATCACCACAGTAAGTCTAGTTAAAACCTATCACAACACAAAGATACATACAGTCCCCACACTGTCCATTGCATAGCCATGACTCATTTATTTTGCAACTGGAAGTCTGTACCTCTTAATCTCCCTCACCTGTTTCTCTCCTCCCCTCACCCTTCTTCCGTCTGACAACCACCTCTTTGTTCTCTGTGTCTATGATGCTGTTTCTGTTTTATGTTTGATCATTTTTTTTTGTTTTTTAGATTACACATATAAGTAAAACAATACTGTATTTGTCTTTCTCTGTATGGCTTATTTCCCTCAGCATGATACCCTCTAGGTCAATCCATGTTGTCACAAATGGCAAGATTTCATTTTTTTTTTCTGGTTGAGTAATATTTCATTACATATGTATATTGTATTTTGTTTTTCCATTCATTTAATGATGGGCACTTGAGTTGCTTCCATATCTTGACTTTTGTAAAATAATGGTGCAGTGAATATAGGGGTGCATATGTTTTTTCAAATCAGTGTTTTTGTTTCCTTTGAATAAACCCCAGGAGTGGTATTTCTGGATCAAATAGTAGTTCTGTTTTTAATTTTTTTGAGGAATCTCCATACTGTTTTCCATAGTAAAGTAGTTTACATTCCCATCAATGGGCATGAGGATTCCCTTTTCTCTACATCCTTGCCAACACTTTCTACTTGTTGTCTTTTTGATAATACCTACTCTGACAGATGTGAGGTGATATCTCACTGTGGCTTTGATCTGCGTCTCTCTGATGATTAGTTATACTAAGCATCTTTTCCTGTGCCATCTGTTTATCTTCTTTGTGAAAATGTCTAGTCAGATAGTGTGCCAAATTTATTTTCATTTTTTTGTTGAAGTATATTTGATTTATAATGTGTTTGCTTCCGGTGTACAGCAGAGAGATTCAGTTATTTATATATATATATATACACACACACATATATACATATATATAACTTTATACATATATAAGTAACTTTTCCAGATTCTTTTCCATTACAGGTTTTTAGAAGATACTGAATATAGTTCCCTGTGCTATACAGGAGACCCTGTTGTTAACCTTTTCTATATAAAGTAGTATATCTGTAATCCCAAATTCCTAATTTATCTCTCCACCCCTTTCCGTTTTGGTAAGTGTAAGTCTGTTTTCTATGTCTGTGAGACTCTTTCTGTCTTGAAATTAAGTTCATTTGCACTGTTTTTTGGTTCCGCATGTAAGTGATACCACATATTTCTTTATCTGACCTAATTTCCCTTAGTAAGAGAATCTCTAGGCCCATCCATGTTGCGGCAATTGGCATTATTTAATTTTTATGGCTGATTAATATTCCATTATTTATATAGGTACCATATCTTCTTTATCCATTCACCTGTTGAGGGACACTAAGGTTGCTTCCGTGTCTTGGTTATTGTAAATAGTGCTATGAACACTGGGGGGCATCTTTTCTTTTTTTTTTTTTTTGGGGGGTGCATCTTTTCAAATTAGAGTTTCTCCATCTATATGCCCAAGAGTGGGATTGCAAAATCATACAGTACATATATTTTTAGTTTTTTAAGGAATTTCCATACTGTTCTCCACAGGGGCTACACCAATTTACATTCCCATCAATAGTGTAGGAGGGCTTCTTTTTCTGCACATCCTGTCCAGCACTTATTATTTATAGACTTTTTAAAGATGGCCATTTTGACTGGTGTGAGGTGACACCTCATTGGAGTTTTGATCTGTATTTCTCTAATTTGATTTGCATCTTTTCATGTGCCTGTTTCTGACATTTTTAAAAGATATCTTAATTTATTATTTACTTTTCATGTAGGGTTTTATGAGTTTTCTGTAGGTTGTTTATATTAACCCCTTATCATGTATATCATTTATGAATATCTTTTCCCATATAGTAGGTGATCTTTTCATTTCATTGATAGTTTCCTTTATTGTGCAAAAGTGTTTTAGTCTGATGCAGTCTCATTTATTTATTTTTTGCTTTTGTTTCCCTTGTCTGGAAGTAACTGTGTGTGAAAGATCTGAAATAGGGGATTTTTTTTTTTCAAATGGATAACCATTTATTGAATGGTCTGTCCTTTCTCAATTGAATTTAAGTCCCTCCTATATCATGCAATAAGTTATCAAATACACATGGGTCTATTTCTGGACACTTTATTTGAATCCATTGATCTTTTTGTCCAGATCTGTACAAATGTCACCACTTTAATACTAGTATAGATTTACACATTACTGGTGTATGCTATGGCAGGCCTAACATTTTCTCCTTTGCCAAAATGTTTTGTCCATTTCTACAGGCTTGCTTTCCCGTTTGTTTTTAAAACTATTCTTAACATAATATTTGTTTTCACTTTCAAATGAACCAGCTCTGTCAAGTTCAGGGGAAAAAATCCTATTAGAATTTTTGATTGGAATTAGACTGGATTTATAAAATGATGTGGGCAAGTAAAATCATTACAATTCTGAGTTCAGGAATGATGCACATTTCTTTATTATTTCAGAACTTTGTTTATGTCCTTCAAAAACATTTAGTAGTTTCCTTCATATTGGTCTTGTTCATTTTTGTTTATAGACATAAGCATTTGAGTTCTTATTAAATAAAATTTTATAAATTCTTTTTGGATTATTGTTCATGTGCTACACTTACTATAAGCTGCTTTTCCAATCAGAATTATAGTATGTCTTCATTTATTTATATCTTTAATAATAATCATTATAAATTATTGTCATCATGAATGGAATTCCTTTTTCCCCCTTATACCCTCCAACTTTATATGATCTACATAATGGAATATGGTGGATTTTGTAGATTTATCAAATATCCTGCAAATCTACCTGATTTTCATTACCTCTAGAAACTACTGGTTTATTTTCTTGAAGTTCTGCTCATTTTCAATTGCATCATCTATACAGAACAGTGTTTATACTTTTCTTCTATGTTTTTTATACTCAAAAAGTTCTGCTGAAAATTCTAGCAAATACATTAGAAAAGATCATTGATGGAAAGTATCCTTATCTTTTTCTATTACTTTCAGTGAAAGAGCTTTTGTTCTTCTCCAGGAAACGTTATGTGAACTCTGGGAGATTAATAAAAATTGGTTTTTATGCCTATTGGTTTATGTGCCTATTATGTAAAATTTTCCAATTTTAAGAATTCTCCCTGATATCTAGATGGATAACCACATATTAGCTCACATTTTTTCTTGCTAATAAGATGAATTATATTATTTGTTATACTAGCTTACATGGTTGGGATAAGGTTACTTGATTAGGCTAAATTTTAAAATTTTACTTAATTTAATGGCCACATATGGCTAATGGCTATCATATTTGTCAGTGCAGTTCTACAGTAAGAGACTAGTCTACTTAAGCTTAGAAATAGAGAAGTTTAAGATTTACTCACTTAGAAGATGAACAAAGAGTGCTATGTGAGTTTGACTGCAATTTTAAATTATTTAAAAATGTGTATATGACTAGGATACATTTGAAAGGATATATACCAAATACTAGCAATGTGTATCTCTGAGAAAATAAATACAGTTGGTTGCATTTTTTCCTTTTCTGTATTTTCTATTTTCCCTAATATAAAGTAGATAATTTGTGCTAAAAAAAATTTCCCAGTTTTGTTCAGGATCAAAATCTTTTAAAATCTGTGTATGCTGCCCACTAAGATTTTTGTTTAGATTTTCAATTCCTATATTTATACATGAGACTAACTTATAGCAGTTACTGTTATCTTGAGCAGATTTTGGAATTAAAAATATTTTTACACACTAATAAGCTGTATGGTATATCTCATCAATTTTGTTTTGAAACAAAGATGACAGTTATCACCTCATAGCAAATGAATAGCAGAACTGTGGCTTTTGAAGTCCTGCTGCCATTCCAATCACAGAAAATTAATAATTGCCATGAAAGTACAAAGAAATCAGAGGTATGAAAACAACAAAACTACTGAGGAAAACATTTATTTTTAAAAATCTGGTCTAAATGTTCAGCAAATCCAAATCCTGGGCTAGGTTATAGTTTCTTTGTCTCTAAACCATTACATGGAAGGTGATTTTCATGTTGTATTTAACCTATGGCATCCTAAATTCTGAAGTGTGATGGCTAAAAGTGGCTAATACTGAATGTGTGCCCCTACAAGGTGCAGGGGTTAAAGATGCACCCTCTGAACCCCTACTGCTTCTGTTCAAGCCCCGGATCTATAGCCCATTAGCTAAATAACACTTGGCAAGTGATTCCGTTTATCTTTGTCTCAATTACCTCATCAGTTTTACAGCTTAGTCCTCAATGAATGTTAACTACTCACATTACTACTATGTACAAAGAGCTCTGCAATGCATTGCTTCCTTTATCCTGCATCCTGGATCCTGTCTTTATTACAACCACCATGGAAGACAGGTCTCCCAGCCTTCAAAGACTGAGGCTCAGAGCTTAGCTCATTTACTCCTGGTCACACAGTTAGTTGATGGGTGAGTGGGATATGAGCCCAGGACTAAATCAGTCAATAGCTATGCTCTACTACATAGTTCTACTTAATTTTCAAAATCGATTCAATCGATTTCATAGTATACTCGAAATGCAAAATAAACCTCACCAAAGAGAAAGAAACATGCCAGAGTCACTGGAAAAAAAAAAAAAAACTGTGGAGGAAAGTAATTAAATCTTAAGTAGAAGTTTTAAGTATGTGCACTTACCATGTAATAGCCTGGCAGTAGCTTCTGAAGAAACTCTGCTTCTTTATGCTGAACTGTTTTGATGATAAATTCATCATCACTGGTCACAAAAAACAAGGATCCACTGGCTCCAGGGTTAGACAGCTCTATTAGAGGTTCACTGCATATGGAATACTACAAGAGCAAATACATAAGCAGTAAAAGTACATTAATGTGTATGATGCATCCAATGAAGAAAATCACAGCATTACATGTCTTACCCATGTTAAGATAGGAAGCCCTCTCCAAGAGCTTTAAGAGGAGACTCTAGATATACTAAAAACTCTTACAAGAGTTCTAAAAATTTAGCTGATCCATTTACCTTAATAACTCTATGGTAGGAAACAATAAGTCTTCCTCCACCCCCAGTACCACAGAATCATGAATCACCATATTTGTTCAATGAGATAACTCCGAAGAGTGGTGTTGACCAAGTCACTTTGTTTCTAGCAAGTGCCCACAAAATAAGAATGGAAGGCATGGTCCTCACTGTGTATTCATCACTTACTTGACACCAACACATATTCTTGTCTCACTGTTTACTCTCCTAAGAGAGGCCATTCACTCATGATTTCAACAAAGAGTTGACTCTAACATCTGCATCTCCAGCCAAGATCTCCCTTGGGGGATCCAGACCTGTATGTCTAACTATGTAACAGACATTTCTACTTAGTTATACCACAAACACTTCATATGTAACAATTTCAAAAGCAAGTTCATCTCAGCCTGTGGTTAACCCATGTGGTGCCTTGGTAGTGATTAGAAAGAAGGAACTCTTTTTTTTCCCCTGGTATATGCAGCTCTGAGCCATAAACAGGTTGGGGAACAGATGAAGAGATAGATTCCAGTCTTCACTCCTTCACCTTAGCCAGGTATTCCTGGGCGGTGCGCACCCTGTACAACTATACATGCTGACTAGATCATCTGTTGCTCCCCCATTCTCCATCGTCTCTCTTTCTCCCTATCTTATAAAAAGGAAGCATCATTCATTCTCCCTCTTATAGAAAGGAAGCATCATTCACTGTTTTCCAAACCAGAAACTGGGACATCATCCTTGATGTTTCACATCTGTTCATCTTCCATATCCAGACTACTGCTAATATCTGCCCCATTCATGACATCTCTTTTTCAAATTCCTGAAGTTCAATGGTTTCATTATTTCAGCCTTGATTATATGGCAAGCTCCACCTGTTCTCAGCTATCCACTCTCGACTCCTCCTGAGCATCCTCCACCAGGAAACCAGAGATCTTTCCAAACTGCATAGGCTTCCATGCCTTCAAACCTTGCTGTGGGTTCCACTGTTAATAGAGACAATTACACCCAAGTTTCTTAGCAGAGCGTTCAAGTCCGTGGATGACAAAGCTCTGCTCTTCAGCCTTCTCTCTCATCCCTTTCCTCCTTAAATTCTACCTCTAACTCCAGAGAACTTCCTCATTTTCTCAAGTGTGCCACACACTCTTGACTATTGATTGCATTTTCTTCTAACAGAAACCACTTCCATGCTACCTTCATCTGACTGAATACCACCAAATAAAACTTCCTTTTAAAAAAACCCTTATTTTCTTGACAACAGACACTGGACTACCATTATATAAAAATAAATTATCTTTGGTAGGATGTATATGCAATTAAACACTTGACATATGGATTTTATCATCCACTTGGCTTGCTGATTCTTCATGAAAACCCTTAGGACAATTTGGTTAATATCACATATGATTCTATTTCTATGCCAGAAATGCATTATCCATGTTCATTCAACATTTAAAAAGTACCTACTGAGTGCCCACAGATGCAATGCCCCAGGCACTTAGGAAGCTTATACAGCAGTAGGAGGAAACGGCCAACAAAAAAGTAAATAACTTACACATCAGAATGTGCTTAAGTGCTGTTGAGAGAAAGGACATAAGGAAAGGGGGATGCAGGGAGTACCACCAACGATGAAGACAAGGTGGTCACTAGAAGCCTTATTGGGAAGGTGGCATTTGAGGAGAGGCCTGGGGCTATCTGGAGAAGGGGTGCTGAAGGCAGAAGGAAGGGCAAAGGCTAAGATCTTGAGACCTGGAGTGTTCATGGCAGAACAAGGAGGCCACGGCTGAAGCAGAGGGAGCAGAGAGGACAGCTGAAGTGGAAGAAGCCAGAAGGGTCTGGTGGGACAGACAAGTAGGGAGTCATAGGCCACATAAGGAATGTGGCCTTTTATGTAGGGGCGCTGAAAGCCACTAGAGGGTCTGGAGCAGAGGACCACTCACTCCATCTGCTGTGCTAAGAGGCCCCAGTAGGAGGACAAAAGGAAGACACAGTGAGAGGCTGGTATAGTGATGCTGGCCTCCAGTGTCTGCTGACAGCACTTGCTCTGGAAAACTCTGCCTGGGTCCAGATCACCTGCTGCCTGACAGTGGATGCTCTCGTCACAGAGGACACCATGTCAACGTGTTAGTCGCTCAGTCATGCCTGACTCTCTGCAACCCCGTGGATTGCAGCCCACCAGACCCCTCTGCTGATGGAATTCTCCAGGCAATACTGGAGTGGGTTGCTATTCCCTTCTCCCAGGGATCGAACCCAGGTCTCTTGCATTGCAGGCAGATTCTTTACCATTTGAGTACCATAAAATACCTCAATTGCCTATTTACTTATTCCAAGTTCCCTCTAGACTGTAAAACTCTATGAGGGCAGAAACCATGACTCTCTTAAATTCTGATATGGTTCAGGATCTGTGCCTCGTACACAGAAGGGACTCAATAAATTTTTGTCAAATAAATGACTGAAATTTACCAACAAATGAAGGGCTGTCAGTCTCCTCAAGTAGTGCCCCAAACCAGCAGAACAGGCAATTTCAGGTTTATGAGTTTAGTGTTTGTTAGTTAATAATCCCTATTATTGACTTATAGAAACATTGTGGGCAGAGAAAAAGGTAAGGAAGCCAAAGTGTGAGATCAGACTAGCCCTGGTGAGATACAATAGCAGGGATTTAAGCAACTGTATTTTGAGGATGGAGGCATTTGAAATCACCAGGGCTGAACATCCTTCAAAGTGTTTTATCTGGGTTTGTGAATACGTAAGTCCTTTTCACAGAAACATCTGAGAGGATATGAGGAAGAAGGGAATGAGGGAGGAGAAGAAACAGAGAAACTGGGAGAAAAATGATTAAAAGGTAGTGTCTAGATGTTACCTTCTAAATCATCCTGCTTTGGCAGCACTGTGGGTAAGGGAAACAAAATTCACCAGGAAACGAAAGAAGCAAGAGTTCGCTGCCTTTCTTAACATCACTGGCAACTTTCATACCCTACCTTCTTTTTCTTCCAGCCTTGCTTCCTGAAGCTCTCTTGCTAAGCAGCACTGCAACCTAAGCCCTTAAGAATGAGTTGAGGATAAGCAAGGAAAATAAAAACAGTCATCAGCCTCCACACAGGATGCTGTAAAAGCCAAGAGGAAGCAGAGGGAAGCTTCCCTGCTCAGGGCAGAGTCCACGTGGAAGGAAAGGCCTGGGTTTGGAATCAAATGACAGTTTGTAAAATCATGACTCTGCCAGTGGCTAGTAACGTGACCTTGAGTAATTTAGCATCTTGGAGTCTTAGAAACCTCATCTCTAAAATAAAGATGGTGATATATACTTGATAGCATCTCAAGAGTTTTAAAAATAAATGGTTTTGAAATCCCTGGCAAAGAGTGACCACTTATGCACTGCTGTTGCCATTTTTCAGTACATGCTCAGCAGTGCCCTAGAATGTACTGAGAGTTTCAGCCTAACTCCCATGACAAGAAGGCTACTCAAAGGTACACTAAGATGATCTTGGTGAAGCAAGAAAAGAGATGGGTGGGGGTGATAAGTTAGGAGTTTGGGATTAAGACATACTACTCTACATAAAATAGATAAACAAGGACCCACAGGGAACTCCACTCAATATCTTGTAATCTATAATGGAAAAGAATCTTAAAAAGAATGTACATGCATATATATATATATATCTATATATCTGAATCACTTTGCAGCACACTTGAAACCAATACAACATTGCGAGTTAACTATACTTCAATTAAATAAATTTACATTTTTAAAAAGAAAAAGTGGGTGATTTGTGTAATCATGAATCTGAGACTCAGGAAAATAAAGGTGTAAACCCCATTCTCATAAAAAATGAAGGCAGATCCCAGACTCTCTAAAGGATTTTGATTCTTTGTTCCATGGGGTTTGGATTTCTGGCATAGAATCCTCTTGTGGGTAGGAGTAAATGTTGTGAAAGTACAAAAGCAACAAAGAATGCAGAAATTAGGGGCTGCAAATAGAGAAATTAGGGGGTGATTCAAGAAGAGCTGTCTAGGGAAAACTGGATTCAGATGTGTACATCTGCTTCTAATTAAAGTCTCAGATTCTTCCAGAAGCAGTGACACAAACTGGAGACTCTTTCATTGGTTACTTAATTGCCAAATACTCCTTTATTATGCAATTTACAGATGAATATGAATGGAGAAATCAGTTGTTTTGACCTCTTTCAATAACCATTTTGGGGTCACTCCTAGCACAGTGTCAGTCTACAATAAGCTGGCATTAGGATGCAGAACCCCTTCTACCATTATCACCTCTGATTCTATGGATTTTCACCTTGCAACTCTGTTACAGTGTTCCCTGCTAAGCTATCCTCTCTAAAATGTTGCCTTTTCAGAGCAAATAAAGAGGAGCTATGGGAACATTTTAATTAGCTGTGATCAACAAGCCCCTGTGTGCACCTTGATGCACCTTCCTGGCACCCTCACTGTGCAAGCTGTTGCAGTGTGCTCATTCCCTGCCTTCTATTTCCTGCAGGGCCTCCCTATGTACCCACTGGAAAGAATGCAAAGCACAGGCCAGCTGGGAACTGCCAAGGCAAATCAACGCTGTAAACTTGCACAGTGAGGTGGAGATCATTTTCCCTGCCATTTCTTCCCATCAATGGTGTTTAATTATTTACCCTGCTCTCTTTCTTATGGGTGTCAATAAACCTAAATCACCCTGGACTTGGGAATATCCAGGCACCTGGAAAAGAAGGAAATGAACCAAAGGCTTGTTGCCTAAGCAGAAATGGGAAAATGATCTGGGGCCCCTTCCCACAGGAGGTCTCATTTAAGAACAAATAAGGAAGAAGGAGCATTTGCA